CTTTAATACTGTGAACAATAAAAATATATATTTTTAAAATTTTATTATAATAAATATCTGCAATAAACTGAAATACATCAAAATATATCAAAATCTATGAGTTAATATGATACTTGAAAACTCTCACCTCCAGAAACAGGAAATACACAAGGTTATTCACTGCAGGTATTTGTAAGAGCAAAATATTGGGAACACCTAAATGCCCCTCCACAGGTACTGGGTAAATGAACAATGGTTAAGCTATACAATACAGCCCCACGGAGCCGAGAGACAAATGATGAAGAGCTCAGAGAACTGACACAAGGGAATTCCCATGACAGACTAAGTGAAAAGACACAGGACAGGACACACACATACAGAGGGGGCATGTGGCCACAGGCAGAACCATGGGAGTGCCGAAGAACAGTCTGCAGAGGAGATCTAACAGAAGGTGGAGGAGGCCCCAGCAGAGATGCCAGGAGCAAAAGAGTTGTTTCCCAGAGGCCAAGAAAAAGCAGGGGCATCAGGCTGCCTATTACTGACCAGGTTACCAGTGACCTCAGGAGACAGGAGTCAGCCAGTAGCATGGTGACATGCAGATGGTGATGAGAGAAGCAAACAAAAAAGAGGGTTGCTGGAGGGGATCAGGATCAGAGGAGGGCCTGTGTTTACGGAGATGCCCAAGACAGAAGCACCCTGAGCATCGTGCTGCCCGAGGTGAAGAGAGGGTGGGAAGGGCAGGTCGAAGGCTGAGGAGCCAGACACGTGGACACTGGGGGTGACACTCCATGGGATCTGATCCAGTTTTGAGGGTGAGGGTCTGTGGACTGAGAGGGCAGGTACGAGGAAGGTGGTTCAGTTTCCTGTCTCTGAGGGGCTCTGCCCTCGCCCAGGCCCTCAGCTGCAGGGTGCTGCCTAAACCCACCTCCGCAGAGAGATGAAGGCGACCTGGAGCTGGCTCGTAGATGGTGGGAAATCAAAAACTGAACCATAAAGCAGCCTTTCCTACCAAAAAGAACAAGTGCTGATGGAAAGAGAAACAGGCCAAGTTTTCGTTTTGCTTCCCTTCTTACAGCCGGTCCCATCTGAGTGCTAAGCTTTCTTCGCAAACTACCTGCTTCGTCTGCACTGGTACGGAGACCAAACTTGCCCCGCCTGCGCCCTCTACTGACCATGTAAGGCATTGCTACAGCTTTCACAGCACAAACGCACGGAGTCCAGGAAAACCTTCCTTACCTTGAGATGGTAGAACATTCGATATGCCAGCCAGGTCTTCCGTTTCCCCAAGGAGAGGGCCAAAATATCTCCTGGGGTTTAGCTGCCTTCCACAGGGCAAAGTCGCTGGCATGCCGCTTGTCAGAATCACCTGCCAATAACAAATGACTGATCAATGGGAGAGCCTAGAATGGACAAACCAACCCCAAATCATCACGAAACTGAAGCACTTTCCAAACAGTCTGTTCCTTCTATAAGTAGCCTCACATTTCTCATTCATATGTTTTTCTCTTTCCCCACATGAGGGCTGGAAGGACTACTACTAAATACTTTTACCTAAAATATGCCAGTAGCATGAGGTCTATCAGCAGTGAGGACAGTTTCAGTAAGCTGAATAATGGAGATTTCAAACACACATACCACCATGCTTCTTCCTGAAGGGTGTACTGAACTGAGTACTCTCATTCTCGTGAGAAAGCTGTATTTATCAGTAACTGAGTTTGAGTACCTTCTCCAAAAAAAATAAATAAATCATATAGAGCGAAAAGGAAAATTACCAGAATACCAATCACTTTCAAAGAGTAAAGAGACTCAGAAAGAAAGGTTAGGTTATTGTTGAAGGTCATACAATGAGCCAGTATTGGGCTCTCTTTACATTCTAAAACTTGGAAGCAATCAGTAGGTTAGTGGATAAACTGTGGTACATCAGATAACGGAATATTACTCAATGCTAAAAAGAAATGAGCTATCAAGCCTTGAAAAGACATGAAGAAACCTTACATGCATGTTTCCTATGTAGGAACTACCTCCGAAAGGAACCATAAGCATGGGCAAATGTGCTGTCTCCAGGGAGAGGAGCTGGAGGACCAGGCAGAAGTGGGGAGAGGACGTGTCATATACTGTGTGAAAACCTTTATACTTTACAGGTTTTCTCTATTTGAAAAAATGAAATGAAATTTAAAACTCAGCTGTGATCAACTGTCAGACAGCATCACCACCTCTGAGAGAGTAGGGGGTCTTGACTGAGCACTGGGAAAGCAGAAGCTGAGTCCATGCTTCAGCCCCCCAGACTCAAGACGGTGCGCTGAGGGCCTACCCACCTGGCTCTGCAACAGGACCAGGAACCACACCAACGAACTTGCCGTACTTGTCTCCTCTCGACTGCAGATCAAAGTAGACGTTGCCTGTTTTGTAAAGGTAATTATGATTTTATCATTTCTCGGTCTTAAATATCAGTATCTATATGAGCTTAATCGCTAACAAGTAATTAGAATTTAAACACAGACTATGGCATCTGGCCCTCATTTGACTCCCTTTACTGTATTTTAAGGTCAGAATTACCACCAGCAGCAATATTTTTTAAAAGCATGCATTTGGACACATCATGAATGTCTGGATGTAAAAGTAAAAACACACAGTAAGTTCTGCATCAATGTTGAGTCAATTCTTTTTAACAAGAAAAAGGAAAAGTGAGTGTTACCATTGGCCTCCGTTCAGCTCTGGGCTTTGTATTACACACTGATCAACAAAGAAGCCTTTTCCTAACCAGATACCCTCCAGGACTGTCTTTTTACTTAGGTTACAAACATCTCTGCACTCAGGCATCCCCGTGGCTGTCCTTCCACTGAGGTGCATATAGTCTACGTTTTTAGACTGTGAGGGTGCAAGATGACCTTCGCCGCGAGGTCACTGCAGAGCCAGGGCCAGCCCTTGCTACTTCCAACTATAAACTACAAAGAGGCAGTCGGGGTAAGTGGTGTCGGGACTGGAGCTCCCTCAAGAAGACAGTCCTGACCTGGACTCATTGGGGCTGCTGGGAAACAGACCCCAGGTGACTTGGTTCTGCCTTCCCCCTCACAGTCCTACCTCTTCACTTGGGGCTACTGAGCTCTATGACAAGCTGGGATAAACTGGGGAAAATAGGAGAAGTACTGTGGAAACAAGTTAGAATGTAAACAACACTTGAAAATGCTTTAAAAGAGAAAGAAACTGTTCCCTTTAATGGAAGAAACATTTTCCCTGTACCTTTGCTTATGGTATCAATCTGCTGAACAAATAGTTCCTTCACAAATAGTTCAAAGATCAAATTACAACCAAGCTTTGTGAAAATGTCACAAAGTCCAAATTAATGGAGTTTCAGTAAGTGAAGTTTATTTTAAATTAACTGTATTTGTTACCAGTATTAAGATTTACAATAAAGCATAGCAATAAAACAAACAGCATTTGTTCCTAAAGCATGCTTGATGAGAATCTCTGAGCAGCTCAGGAACACTAATCAGTTTATCTGGGTTATGTGTCTTATTTCACATTACATGATGGCAGGAAAACAATTCCTGTAGTTCTGGAGCCAATTCCAGGTTCAGTCACCTAAGCCCTTTAAAACAAGTTTTTCTTGGAAACAAAATCTAAAGATAGTTGCCCTAGCCGGGTTTGCTCAGTGGTTAGAACATCAGCCCACGGACTAAAGGGTCCTGGGTTCGATTCCAGCCAAAAGCACGTACCTCGGTTGCAGGCTTGGCCCTGTTCAGGGTGTGTGCAGGAGGCAACCAACTGGTGTATTTCTCTCACATTGATGTTTCTTTCTCTCTGTCTCCCTTCCACTCTCTTTGGAAAGCAATGGGGAAAAAACTATATCCTCAGGAGAGGATTAAAAAAAAAAAAATCTAAAGATAGCAAATAAGATAAAGTAAAAGACTGCAAGTCCTGTATGCATAGGCTACTGAGAAAGGCAACACATGTTTCCACGTGCCAGTGGGCCCCTTGCGTGTATCTTCTGCTCTCAGGTAGGACCATGAAAGAAAGGTGCTCACAGTCCAATAATCCCTATAAATCATGCCGATGACCATGCTTTGTACTTTGTTATTGACTTGCAACAAGCACTGTAGTATCCCAACCCTGAGCTAGGTATTCTAGTGGGTCATTCGCTAAAAGCCAGAGGTTTCCCCGGTCCAAGAACTGAAAAACCGTGCATACATTAACAACAAGCTAAAGTGGCATATGATGGGCTGCCAAGTGGTATGGTACAGATATCAAAGCTGAGAAGGTGAGTTCACTTTCAGCTATGGGTAGTAAAGAAAACTTCCTGGGAGAGAGAAAGTAGGATTTAGGTTTGGGAAGACTGACTGGAAAGGAGTAGGCGAAGCTGCAAAACACCAAGATGCCAATCTTCCTCCCTGAAGCCACCAACCAAACAGCAGCAGCTCCTAAACCAACTAAGCTCTACTACAAGGAAGCGGTCACACAAATCCAGAAGACAAGGTGTTCCGTAGACAACTGGCCTGGTCAGTCTCTTCAACAAGTCCATATAGAGGGGAACAAAGTGGGGACTGTCTTAAAGAGACGGGACACAACCACGTGCAGTGAGCGACCTGAATTAGATTAGGATGTGGGAAGGTGGGGCACAACAGGGTAAATGTGAATATGCAAAGGACAGGGGATGCTACTAGGAAACTGTCCAGCATCTCAGCTCTGATAATGACATTGGGGTTACATAGGGTCAGGGCTTTTATTCGAAAATATGTGCTGAAGTGTCAGGATGTCCACTGCCTTCTTTCATCGGTCCGTCAAAAGACAGCATACCCATCCAAGGAGATGACTGTCCAAGGGCCAGTCTTTCACAAGGGAGTGGGCCTTTAGAGGTGCTGCCATTGTCCTCAGCTTTTTGTTATGAAAAATTGTAAACAAAGTTGAAAGAAGACTCAAAGTATACCTGCACACCTACCATCTAGAGGCGGCGTGGGAAACGCCTGGCCTTCTGGCCCTGCCCAGGCCTTACCAAAGAGCAGCAGTTCCAGCCATCACATTGGTGGTGAGTTAATTAAATGTCTGACCAAATATAGCAGGGCTAATTTTTAAGTGATAATTTTGTATGGCCCCTGTATGATGTTATAAATATCCAAATGGCCTTTGGCAGAAAAAAGGTTCCCCACCCCTGATCTAGAGCAACAATTGTTAGCATTATGCCATATTTGCCTTGTCTAGACTAGCTCTCCAGATGGTCAGCTCTTCCTGTGACCATGGAAAGTACTTTTTAAAAGAACTGATGCAACCGTTTTTGCAAAGACAATAACCGTAAGAAAACCTCACAAGATTTTCACTATAGGAATCACACCGAGAAAGACAGTAAAACATTCAGCATGTTCCAACAACCCATAAATATGTGTCATTTCTCAAAGTCCTGTCAGTAGTACCCAACAACCTGTGTTTATAACCCAGCCCCCACCTTTTGCTGTTGAGTAAGCATGCCCATTCGCAATTATTCCTTCAATGAAAGAAATGATCTGAGGAATATTCTCAGTCACCCTCAAGTACACTGTGGGTGGGAGAACCTGAAAGAGAGCAGAAGAGAGATAACTGTTTCCACAGTTCAAAAGCAAGTCAGCCAACTGGCCTCCATTGTTCAAGCTTCTTATCTTCACGGCAAGACGAATCAGCAACACCCTACTTTACCTTCAAGGCTGCCATATCTTGTTTAAAATCTTCTTCATAGAGGTTGGCAAGAGAAGCAGGTGATATCTTCATCTGCAAGAAGATTAGGTGAGCCTATTAGGAAATCTGGAATATTCACAACAGAACCACACAGGGGAACCACATGGAGGCACCACCGGCTCCAGGGCCGGGAGGGCTGGGCCCCGTCATGGCTTGACCTCAGTTTGGCATGGTTGCTCACAAAAAGGGCATTTAATTTTAGGCATCAGACTTAATCTAGTAGCTTAGCTAGTCAAAAAGGTTTTGTTGACCCTGTTTTCTGGTTAGAGAGAAAAAAGAAATAATGTCATGATTTCCCTTATATAATTCAAAACAAAGACGAAAACATACAAAAAGCTTCTGTGTTTTTAAAAAATATTCTTATTCTTATTGATTTTTAGAGAAAGAGAGGAAGGGAGAAAGAAGAAACATCGATTGGCCACCTCTCACATGCCCTCTACTGGGGAGCCCTGCAACCCAGGTATGTGCCCTGACAGGGAATCAAGCCAGCAATCTTTAGGGACATGGGACGACATGCAACTAACTGAACCACACTGGCCAGGGCACCTCTATTTTTCTAGAATGAGCCAGATCAATCTATTGTATATAATAACCAGAAACTTGAGCTCCTATATAATACCTTACCCCTCAGGAGGCAAAAGTAAACAAGTCAAAAATGTATTACAGAGGAAATCTCTACGAAATATTTGAAAGCAATGCAGCACAAGAAAATAGGGACTGTGATGGGTACTCAATCCCATGGGGCCATGGCTGGGCTCCTGGGGACAGGCAATACCCTGTCACAAGTGGACATCAAATTCTGAATGTAGGGTATACGGGGCATTTACCTACAGCCCCAGATCTAGAGGGGGCTGGCTCACAAAACTAGGCTCACAAAAGTATTTGTTACTTTTCAGCAGAAACCACTCCAGGACAGAGCATGACACATCGTGAAGTTATGAGACTAAACACAGCTTCATAACTGTTGAGCCCGTGAAGTGACCCGTGAACCACTGGAACTCACCCAGCATCTGTGGCATCGGCTTCGTGCTGGGTCCTCTCCCCTGCTCCTTCCCAGCCCTGAGAAGCAGGGCGTCCATTTTATGAGGGAGAAATTTCAACTCCAAATGTTAAGAAACTTTCTCAAGTGAAACAACACCTTGAACCTACCTTCGTCCCAGCCCAGGGCCCTAAAATAGCAATCACCCTGGAAAACAAGACCAATGAACATTTACTGAAGAAAGAAATCTGGTGAACGATGATGTGTTGCTGCCCAAGTGTTTGGCTGTATGGTCTTGGGCAAGACAATAAATCGCTTTGCCTTAGGGTTTCTTTGCAACACAAAGATAATCCCAGCTAATTCAATGTGCAATGAGAAAGCCAATGCTGTGACTGGAAAAAAATGACATTGATATCACTATTAAAGAGACAAAACACCTAGCACCCACACACAACTGGTGATCAGTACGTATCGGTTTTTTCCCAGGGTGTAGCTTTGTGGCAAAGCTGACCTCCTAAAAAAGAAAGTTAACTTGTCTATATCCAGAGGACAAAAGACCAAACAAACAAAAAAGCTAAAAATACTGTTATCTTTCATTTTAGAAGTTTCAAATACTATGCGGATTGCTTGCATTTATTTATCTGTAATTTCTGTTTCCTGCACAGGAAACTCATTCCCAGGGAACTGGAATGACATGAAGGGACCGGCCTCCCTCGCAGGAGGCAAACACCATCACCAGTTGTCTCAGGAGCATGACCATGGTCACACATGCATGTGCATCCTCTCCTTGAAATGCAGCACCTTCCACGCGTGGCCTGCACTGGCCTCCTTCTCTGACGACAGTGGTCCTGAACTGTCCATGCAGAGCACAATGACCACCACCTGCCTTTCAAAGGCTGTCTGCATCCCGTCCCAGGATTTCATGAACTATTAACCAGTCCTCTCCGCTTACCTTCCCATCTTTACTGAGAAACACATGAATACACACATCATTTCCCACAGGGGCAAATACATTTCTACACTATAGACCGAGATGTAAAACCACTGATCAAAAATGTTTGCTAGCTCCTGGCCGGTGCCTTCTGCGGGAGGTGCACCAATCCGAACCTGACCTGCAGTGCACGCAGGGGTCTACGTCCCACACCCTAACCCACGCAGTGCCAGAAGCTTCCAGATTTTGTCAACATGACAGCTGAAAAATGCTTTCTTGTTGTAATTTGTAATTTTAATTTGTACTTCTCTTATTTTTAGTGAGCGTGAACATCTCACGTTTACAAACTATCTGTACTGAATGATTTGTAATTACCCATGCCCACTCATGTTTCCATTGAGTTGTAGGTCTTCTCTTACTGATCTGTAGAAAGTATTTTTATATAAAAGTAATTAACCTTTTATCTCTGATATGAATTTCAATTTTTTTCCAGTCTTTAAATTTTATTGTAGCCCTGGCTGGATAGCTCAGTTGGTTAGAGCATCGCCCCACTACACCAAGGTTGTGGGTTTGATCCTCGGTCAGGGCACATACAAGAGTCAACCAACGAATGCATAAGTGAAACAACAAACTGCATGTGTGTGTGTGTGTGTGTGTGTGTGTGTGTGTGTGTGTGTGTGTGTGTGTGTGCGTGTGTGTGTCTCCCCCCGTTCCTCTCTCTCAAATCAATCAATAAAATAAACTTTATGGCATGTAGAAAATTTTATTTTAATACTTACCAATATATTTCTCAATCTTTTCCTACAAATAGCTTCTGGGTTTGAAAACAAACTTAGAAAGCTTTCTCCAATATGAGGCTATAAAAAGTGCCCCAAGGTTCTTTTAGTAATTTGTGGTTTCATTTCTTTTATATTAAATCTCTGATCTGACTCAAATTTGGTTGTGAGGCATATATCCAACTTTGGTTTATTTTTCCCCCCAGATGGTTACCCAATTGTCAACACTTTTTACTGAGTAATTCATCTGTTTCCCATTGATCTGAACTATCATCTTTATCATAAAACAAATTTCCATTGTTTATTTTATCTATTTCTGGACTTTCTAGTGTGTTCCATTATCTGTCTATTGATGTATCTATCTCTACAACAACCTTTAATTTCACAACCTTCGCAGAGACAGAAAGCAGATTGGCAAATGCTCGGGGACAGGGTGGCAGGGAGGGCAGGAGGGAGGGATGACAAGGGTGCAGAGGAAACTCTCGGGGGCAATAGATGGAGATGTTCACCATCTCAACACTGGTGATGGGTTCACAGGTGTGCAAGTTTTATCATATTGTACACTTTGTGTGCACTATATATGCAGTTTATTCTACCTCAATAAAGCTGTGCAAAAAAAAAGAATCTATGAAAACAAAAATGGTCCATAGCTTTTAAAATACATTTTAATATTTGGTAGGGCTGCTCCCTCTTCAATCTTCTTCTTTTACAGACTTTTCCTGGCTATTCTTGCTTTTTTGCTATCCCATATAAACTTTAGAATCAATATGTCTAATTCTAAAAGGGGGAAATAATATGGATATACACATACACACACATTCTCTCTCTCTTAAATGACTTAAGTACAACACTGCCTGAACAAGTGACCCATGTGGTCTCTCTAGCTCCCATGACACAACCCTAGAGGACGTGGCTCAAAAATGTTCACGAGTGACGATGAATTGTAAGGGAATGCCACCTATTGCTGGCCTTGGGGGAGAGAGGGAGAACTATATTCTAAAAGTAAAAATTTTTAATTTAATTTTTAAGCAGCTGATCACAGCTGCTCTCTTTCACTTTCCAGAAAACAAACTGTAGGTGGTTGTAGGTGCTGAAATGGGGTCCTCGTCCTTGTTAATTCCGATTATTATCCAGCTCTGCCTTATTATCACCCATCATTTCAAGTCAGCTGGCTCCCTGGCAGGAGACCCTGCTGGTTGGGACCTCAGCCCTCAGACTGAGTGTCCAGCCGTCTTCCTGGAGAGAAGGGCAACGTAGGCCAGTGTTTTGAAGCACAAAGAGTAACTTTGGATTGAATCACTCTGACACATTTATTATGACTTTGGTTAACACAAAATGTGACTGGCAAATATACCATGCCCCTTTAATTCTTACCCCCAAAATCCTCTGGTGGTTTTTATCCCTGACAAACTATAAAACTGTGCCAAAAATTTAAGTCAAGGGAGTGACTCAGAAAAGTATAGTATTATAATTTAAACTATTTTAAAAGCAAGTGTTGGAGCAGAGGGCATAAAGGATATCACCATCATTAAAAAAGCTTGCATTAGAGAAAAAGAATAGCCTTTTTGCTAGATACTAAAAAACAAACAGGTTTTTTTCACAGCGGTGTTGTTTCAGATACGTGGTTTACCATCTTAAAGATACTATTTTGAGAACAAAAAACTATTCACTGCCATGTTAGCATTTTGCTGTGTAACCAATATGGAAATTTTCAGGTGTCAAAAATTAAACACTTTTTATTTTTAGGATCTTTAAACCAATTCTACCAACTTTTCATATTCTAAGTATTATAAAACTTTATTAAAGTAACAGCCTACGCCTCCTGATGGTATTTGTGAAATCCTCCAAATACCTCCCCTTTCTTCCTGCATTTACTGCTGCCCCTTTTCCTGAAACCTGCCCCTCCCTGGACTCCTGGCTCTCCACCACTCTGCTGACCACCCGCAGCCCTGCCTGACCCTCCCAGCACATCCCCCAGTTCTTGTCCCTGTCTCCCACCCACATTCTTTCCCACTGCACCCCCCAGCCTGACCAGTCTCCAGCTTCCCACCAGCCACACTCCCATGACTTTCAGGTGGACATTTCCGCCTCCAATCTTGAAGATCCTCAGCAGACCCCAATTCACCAAGGGCAGGGACACATCTGCTCTATTTCAGGTTCCGCCTGAGTGCGATGACAGATGAAACACTGACCTGCTCACCTTCCTTCTAACAGACCTGCATTTCCAAATGCCACCTCTGCTGCGGTGTTACTTCAAACTGCTCATTCCCTCACTACATCACAGATCACTAATTTCTTTCTGTCATTTCCATCCCAAATCCAGCCAGGGAGGTCAACTTCAATCTCAAACCCTGTCTCCGCCTGTGAGAAGAGATAATGCACCACACCCAGCAGGACGCTGTGGGGTCAGCTGTTGCAGACACACAGCAGGCTCTCTTGCTTCCCACCATCACCTCCCCTTCCAGATCTGACTTTCACTCACCCCCGTGGCCGTGTACATATGTCACAACCTCGCTTCCAGAGCCTTAAGTGGCTAGACCAGGGTGGACATATAACCCAGGGACACCAAACATAGGAGCGGGTAATCTCTGCATCCCTATTATCAGGGCTTATAAACTATGTCACACACAGAGCATCTGTCTGTAGGTCCATCTGCCTAACCAGACACAGCTCCAAAAGACTAGGAACTACCTTTCCTCACTTCTCTGCACAAATCCAGGCACAAGTCTGACTCCAGATGTTCAGTGCATGCTCGGGACCAGTTCTGGAAATGGAAACTGAGTCTACTGCAAGGGACCATGACACACTGACTAAACTACACAACAAAATAGAAATGGGAAACCCCACCTCTCTAAAATGACCTAATCTTAAGGAGAGTGACAAAACTTATCAAATAAACTGCTTATCCTTGAACCAAGTGGTTACACTTGAAAAAAATATTTATGGAAACAAAAAAGATAGTCATCGTGGCCACTGTTTTTAACAGCTAGAAATAACACAAGTAGTCAATGACGGGGGGTGTAGGGGAACTGCTAAATAGCCACCCATGGTGGAATGCCATCTAGTTACTGAAAAGGCCTATCAGTAGGAAATAGGAGGATGTGGTTTCTACAAAATAATTTTGACAGAAAATAGCAGAATATGGAAGTAACCTAAGGGTCCAAAAACAAAGATGGTAAATTATGATATGTCCATATGATGAAATATTATAAGGTTATTTTTAAACGTTCAAGAATATAAAAACATGGACACTCAAAATTTAGTAAGTATAAAAAACATATAGTAGCCCTGGACACTGTGGCTCAGTTGGTTGGGCATTGTCCTGTGAACTGAAAGGTTGCTGGTTTGATTCCCGGTCAGGGCACATGCCCAGGTTCGATCCCCAGTAGGGGGCGTGCACAAGGTAGCTAATGGATGTTCTGCTCTCACATCAATGTTTCTCTCTCTCTCCCTCTCCCTGCCTCTCTCTATAAAAATAAAAATATTTAAAATTAACAAAACAAAAACAGACTATAAAACAATACAAAGCATAAACTGGTTTTCTAAAAAAATATTATATACATCTACATACATTTTGTAAAATAACAGGAATGTAAAGTACTCAACATAATTTCTTCTGTAAATTAGATAATTTAACAATTATTTATAGCTCTTTAAAGATAATTGTTAAAGTTGCTAATTATAAAAAGCAGAGCCCAGCCGGCGTGGCTTGGTGATTGAGTGTCGACCCATGCACCAAAAGGTTACTGGTTCAATTCCTGGTCAGGGCACATGCCTGGGTTTTGGGCTTGATCCCTAG